AGTTGTTAATTCTTTCAAGTGTTTCCCGTGCGATTTGGTTTCTGTTCATGAACTCTTTGCCTACCCCTATGTCTTCAAGAGATCCTCCTACTTTCTCTTCTAGGAGATTTAGTGTTTCTGATTTAATGCTCAGTTCTTTAATCCATTTTGATTTTAGTTTAGTGTGTTGTGATAGACCGGGGTCTGTTGCTTTATTCGTGTTATCTCACCTTTGCTGCTTGTCTAATACATCTTGGAGTATACTCCTTTTTTTGAGTCACTGGTCTCCCTGCTTGGCAAGCCCAGTCACATAACCACCTTGCCTCATGCACTGCCTAACATGATCTACATGCTGAATAAAATGTTTATAGTAATGACAGTGAATGGGAAATACTTGCAGAGTAGAAAATCTCAGAAAATGTAAGCAGAAATGACGGATTCCTTCCCTCTACAGAGACATCCAGGGCCTATGTTGTTTCAGAAGTACTAGAAGACAGAAAATGGAACCCATTTTACATTTTTAAAGACTAGACTGTCCTTTCTTAAAACTTACTCTTGAATTCTCATTTAGAATTTTCTATTGTCGATATCACTAATTCCTGAAGTGTAGCTGTCATTTAAAGAAAATCAGATTTAATAAAATGAATCAAAATTTTATTGAGTATGCTTCCCCAGTGGGCATTTGATTGACATAAGCAGATATTCATTACAAATTGGACAACCAAAGCTTAATTTTAAAGCCTAAAGCTTTCTTGCTGTTCATAAAACCTTTATTAAAGCCTCCAGTTCATTCCTTTCAGTACATCTTAATTTCATCCAACGACACCCATTAATTTATTACTAGATATTTCCTATTCAACAAGAGCCTTAAATACTATTTTGTTCATATTCCATGAAAAATGGAAACAACATCAGACTAAGCACCAAAATCTGTTCCAATCAAGATAATGACACTTCTTAGCTATAAGTTCTAGAGTAAATCAAATATTCCTAACCTTATTTTCTTCATCACCAAAATGAGGATTGATACGCTCACCTCACAGGACTGTTTCAAAAAGAAAATGACAGAAAAATATGCAGACGCAGTGTGTGAATCATAACACACCATAAAAATGTAAGGCAGGGTTATTCACAAACAGCGACAAGAACTCGCTCATTATTCAGTGAGCACTCACGAAGCATGAGCAGGAGGCACACACTTCACTGAGCAATAATCATATCAATTCAAAATTAGTCAGTGGCCGTAAGAAGCTTCAATACCAGTAGGGAAACCAAAGTTACAAGGTGAAGAGAAGCGTGTGCTGATGTGTTTCTTGGCATCAGAACAAGTATGGAAGTGAGGAAGGAGGAGAATTCCCTGAGCTACTGACACATGAAGGAGCTACAGATTCAGCAGCAACAAAATAAATCTGAGTCACTGCTTTGTGGAGGAGTGGCCTGCATGCTTCGCTGCCTGGATCCAAGCAGTTCAAAAGTGTCCCAACCCCTCAAGACAGGCTTTCTTAACCTAGCACCACAGGTATTTTGGTCTGAATAATTTTGTGTTGTGGGACAGTCTGGTACATTGCAGAATAACTCTACCTACTCAATGCCAGCAGCGTCTGCCCCTATCTACCTGTGACACCAGAAACTTCTTCAGACATTGCCGCATGTCCTCTGAGAAGCTAAATTGCTCCTAGTTCAGAACTTCTGCTTTAAGGTCATGGAAAACCAGCATAAGTGCTCCCAGGAGAAATTGAATTCATATAACTACTACCTGGACTTATAATGGTGCTCAACAATCATTGACTGAATGAATGAGCCCCCCGGAACCTCTCTGGCATATTTCTCTTGGGTCTTAACCAGAAAAGCTTCTAATTAAGTGTCAAAATTTCCCAAGTGAGAGGTAACAGTAACACCAACATCCATTTATACAGTGCTTGGTACAAGCTGTACAATCCTGCGCAAGTAGCTCAAACTCCCAGATATTTAAGTGGGGATAATAAATTCTATTTTACAAGGTCATTGAGAAAACTAAATGAGATAATTGCTAGTACAACATATTGGCTTTGAAGGCTTAGCACTCTTTTCTGGTGTAATTGATAGGAAAAAAATCTTACTAGAGTGCTTCTCACTTCCTGCCAGTAAGTTTGTCCTCTAAGATGAACTAAAGCATTTTGGGGATATACTGCCATTGTCTCACATGCCTGCAGTGCACAGTGACCCCGTGACAGAAACTGACATACCAGGTATCCAGCTCCTCCCTCACTAGCAAAAGGTCGGTTAAGTGGCCCAGAGAGTTGCAGCTTCCTAAGAAGCACACGTCTAATAGAATGACAGTTTGAACATGAAAGGCTCAGTCAGCACTCTGAACAGGCCAACACGTTGGCGAGGGTGCCTTGGTCCTCCTGAGGCTTGGTTGGGTTGTGGGTTTGGGGAAAGTGCTTTTTGTATTCTGTATCCTTCAGTTTTCTATAGACATAGATCGTCAAATCCGGAAATGTCTTCTGAAAATAACGGGAAGGTTCTCCAGTTATTTCCTTCATCCTGAAATGGAAAAGCCAATGGTTTAGCACACTTGCCGCCAGCGCCTCCTCCTGGGACAGAACGTGACCCGAGGGTTCACACTGCTCGCTTTGTTCCTAGTGCAAAGGGAACGAGGACTTAGGAATCGGATCTTTCAAGACTTCTTCTAATTCCTTCGTAGCTGCAAATGTTGGCCACTTAGCTTTTCTGAACCTCAGCTTTGTCATTAATAAAACAAAAGTAATATCATTTTATAATCTTTTATGTCCAAACCTCACATTCAGAAGAGCCCTAAACCAAAAAGCTTTGTATGTATGTGTTTACAGCTGTCATTTTTGACAGCAAAAAATGATTTTACCAACATAGCACTGTTTGACTTCTGTTAATGCAACATTTATTTCACTCAGCTGTCCGATCTCCTGGGTTACTCCCCCAGGAAACGACTGGCTTCTGCTTCAGTGGGCCCTGCAAAGAGTGAAAAGGAAGACAAGAGCCTGACAGACCAGTCCGTAATTAACTGTAAAACCACAGTGATCCCCTTTTCTCAGCAGAGAAGGGGAGCTGCTCTTCTTGTATCAGAATAACTTTTTTGCATTCCGTGTAGATATGTACTTGGAATTGGATTTCTTTTTTTTTTTTTTTTATGAGCAGAATATATTTATTGAGAGAAAGAAAGCTCCTGTCCAGAGAGAGGGACAGGAGGGGGGGGGCCCTCATTTATTTTTTACACTATCTCTTTTTAAATTATAGCAATGTTCCATTTATTTATTTATTTTTATTTATTTAGCGGTACTGGAGATCAAACTTGAAACTTTGCACTTGCCAGGCAGGTGCTCATGCCGCTGAGCTATCTCCCCAGCTCTGGAATTGGATTTTAAACTGTTCTCCTCTTACATATGATTTATAAAAATGAAAATAATACTTACCATTTATTTCTGTCCTCATTAATGTGCTCTCCTATATTCCGGATGAACTTCAGCAGGTCAACTACATTCTCCTGGTAAAAGTTACCATTTTTTTCATAGAATTTATCCATATTTTCCATGATAAGTTTGTCAATCTATGAAACAAAATATCGCTCATAAACGTGGTGGTAACACAATAAATCTTATGGCATATTAATATCAAAAAGAAAGATACAAATTTGAATTTATGCTACCCTCTACTAATAACTAAAACAGATTAACTAAAAGAATGAAAATAAATGCAAGCCTGTGCAGTGGTGGCCACGCTAGCGCAGCCTAGAAAGCTTGGATCATGTCCCTATGCTGCCAAAACCAAACCATTTGATCACTAAAAGCAATAGAAAAACAGTCTAAGATAGATATTAAGAGATAAGGCTTCAAGTCCATCAAAATTCAAGCCAGTGAATAAGCCAGTGAAATTTAGAGGGGCAAATGCAATGAATTGGGAAACAAAAGAGCGGGTTTTCTTTCCAGCGCTGTTAATCTGTGGCTACCCTATCCTGGGTACTTCAGGTGTCATCTCTGAGCCTCTGTGTCCTCAGGGATTAAATATATTGGTGGAGTTGCTAGCCATGGTGGCCCTGGCAGTACAGTGGCCTAGGCACATGGCCTCTGCAGCAGTCCTCCCAGCTTCAGTTCTGCCACACCTCTCCCTGGTTCTGTGCCTTTGGAAAATGTGTTTGTCTATGCCTCACTTTAGCCATCTACAAACCTCAGAGTCTGTTTGAGGACTGAACATGGCAGCACTATAAAGTCTGGAGATTGGGCTGGTGAGATGGCTCAGTGGTCTAAAGCACCTACTTAGAACAAGCTAAAGCAAAGGGACCGTGGTTCAATCCCCCAGCACCACATGCCAGCCAGCCCCGCCCCCTGGTGGGCTGAGCTGACCCCCACCCCCAAAAAATAAAAAAAATCTACTGCTGCCACATAGCACTACAGAACTGCTCTCTGTCATCCTGTTTCTGTCACCCCTGCTCTCTCTGTCATCCCTGCTCTAGTTTCAGGTTTCTCTTTCCAAAGTTTAAGTATGAGCTGAAGTTTCACAGACATCAATAGAACTTGCAGGCTAGCAAAGAAAGCAGACATTAAACAGCATCAAGAGTTGTAGTCTTGAGACCAACGAGGGAAGGAATTAATCCAAGAGCCATGGATGAAGAGGTTTTGGCCACCCTCATAACTGACAGTTTGTAGATGTTTTTAGCTTAATAACAATGAAAGTTGTGATACTAGGACTACAGATAGAGGTTAATTTTATAGAATTTTTCTGTACTTAGAGGAAGTGAGGTAGAAATTTTCTTGGAAAATGTTTTCATGAAAGATTGTGTTTTCTTCAAGGTATTTTCCCAAAGCATGGTACCAGACTCGACCATGGTTGAGATGATGCACAGTGGAGCACCTCCCTTGGGCCAGGCTCTGTGTGGCCCACATGCTGGTCACCATGGCTAGGCTTGAAGGAAAATCTCAGGGATTGTGTCAAGGCCTTCTTAAGCAAGAAGCTGAAGAAGAGTCTATCAGGAATCTTGGGGAAAATGTGAGGGTCTGAAAAGAAGCCCAGAGACACAAAAGAGAGAGGAGGGTCTGAGATGGGGAGGAAAAGTAGGAAAATCATCTCTTTACCTTCCTACCTGAAACATGTCAATGGTATAAAATATGTTCAAAAAACTAGCATTAAATATCACACAAATTCATTCTCAAATAACTCCTAAGCCATAGGAATTGTCCATACCTTATTTGGCCACTTAGCAAAGCTTTTGGAACCTTCAGATGCCCCAGGTTGTAGTATTTGGAAGATTTCACTCTTCCATTTTCTCCTTTTGATGTCAGATTCATTTCCTATATTCCGAAGTGTCCTATACCGGCTGAAAATGACAGAATTATGGTTATTTTGTTCTTCCCACTCTTTGCAGAAACAGAAAACTGATATATTTTATTTTCTAAGAAAAGTATTAAAGCTCTTCAATGATTCTGCATTATAGAAGAGGCATCTGATCTTTCTTCCCTCCTATTCTTCAGAAGAGAAAGCCCGAGCAAGGAAGTTAAATCACTTCTCCAGGGACACACAACCAGAGTATGCTGGATGAAAAGAAAATCCTGGATTGGCTGACCCCAGCCCTACCCCTTCTCTCTCTCTCTCTCTCTCTCTCTCTCTCTCTCTCTCTCTCTCTCTCTCTCTCTCTCTCTCTCTCTCTCTCTCTCTCTCTGGAGCCCTGTGACATCACTCAGGTTTTACTTACTTCTCCCAAGTCCAAAAGAAGGGATGACCCAGCAGGTCATTCAGATAGTCCCTCATGTATTCCCCAGGACAGAACAAGTGATGAATGAGGTCCTTAGTTTCCTCATCTGGAGAAAGGTCAAGCACCTGTTCATTGCTTTGAGCCTTCAGCCTCTCAAAAGGGATCTGCCCCTTCTTTACCACATACAGGGCCAGCCGTCCGAGAGCCTGTGCAAGAGCCACAAAGCACCAAAGGTGATTATGAGTCTCCTTCCTATGTGGGTAGCCTTGGAAAATGTAGTGTAAGATGCAAGCACAAGGAGGATGGGAAGAGCCCCAGAGAGTGCACAGGCTTGGTGGGAAGAGAAGGTACAAGCCTGCACCTAGAGAGAGCTTCAAAGCAATACTTGGGCCACATGGTTCAAGTTTCTGAGGAGCAAAATGTAGCCCTGTGCCAGAGCTGTCAGGCAGACTACTTGGAGGCAGAGGGATTTAAACTGGGCCTTGAAGATACTGATAGAATATAGATGAGTTAGGGAGAGTGAGAATGTTTTTAACAAGATAACTACAGACTGGCCAGGAAGTGGGAGTTCAGGTCTGGTGCTGTGTCAGGTTTCAGATATGACACAGTCAGTTGAGGTTAGGAGAATCAGAGTGGCAGCCAAGGAGCTAGACCATGACAGGGAGGAAAAACAGAGGAAGAGATCATCACAGGAGCCCTGGACACTGGTCAGGGATGGGGCTGAAATCTAGAACCAAACCAAGGTTCCAGGAGAGAACTGCCCGATAACTTTGAGTCCTACTCATTGCAGGAGCTTTGGGATGCAGGGCCAGACTCCACGTCCTCTCTGAAGCAACAGGTGTTTCAGGATCTTAACCTGGGTGGCTCAGCTTTGTGTCTGTTGGGCTGGGGGTGACAGCACTCCTCCCAGAAGCTCTCTGAAGGCCTCAGTATCTGGCCTTCTTCAGAGCTTAGCACAGGGGTTTGAACAGCATGGGAAAAGATATCTCTCCTACTTCATCTTTAGGCAGAAAAGGGTCTCCTGGAGGAAATGTGAGGGAAGAGGTGCAGCATGCTCAGTTCATTACTTATTTGTGAGTGAAGGGAGGAGGAGACCCAAAGAGAAGTAGGAAGGGGTCACAGTGATAGCCAGGTCCACATTTACCCAGCACACAGCCTTCTCTTCTGTATTGCCAAAAGCCAAGCAAATGCTCCGCGTGTTGAAACCCTTCAGTGGGGCAGTTGGCAGATGCCTTTGTTGGTGTGGGACTGAGGATAGTAACAAGGCAGGGTCAAAGCTTGAAAGTTCTTCCCTTCCTAGTTAAGATAGAGATATCCTGTATTTGGCCAAAGGAACTAGGGTAATGAACCAATAAGGAGGCTAAAAGAAAAACAGTAAACTGGGTGGTAGACATTACCTCTAGATCACTCTTGATTTCCTGGGGATCACCAGTCCACTTGATGCTCTGATCAAAATCTCCCAGGCGAACAGCATTCTTGGAATCTAAGAGATGTTTAAAGAGGGGCAAAAGAGATGCTCACTGTCCGTGTTGTAACACTCAGGTTTGTACCACGACGTGCACCATGATGTACAATCCATCATCTAAATAATAGTTTTAAGGGCCGGCCGAATAGCTCAGCAGACTAAAGTCCCTGCAAGCAGATGCAGGGGAGAGGGGTTCAATCCCCAGGCCTGCAGTGCAAGCCCTGCCCCCGGGGCGTGCTGACCCGGTGATTGAGACTGGGCATGGTGACGCGCACCTGTAATCCCAGCCCTTGGGAGGCTGTAAACAGACGGATCACTATGAATCTGATCTAGTAGTGAGACCCTGAACACCCTGTAGACAATTCCCTAAAATTAAAAATAAATAAAAGTTCTACTAACTCCCCCAAAACTGTCACATACATAGTTTCCTTTGATCCATGAGGTGTCTCCTAAGATCAGGACATATGTTTTATTTTCTCCAGACCAGAGAGTAAGAAAGGATGAGGATAAATTAAACCAGCTCCTCTTTCACCCAGTTCTTGGGGCAAACATCACTGATTTGCAAAGGAGCTCCTGAGAGGAGATGAGCTTACGTCCTATACAGCAGTTAGTCAATGAGGTTCTAAATTTGTCATGGTACGGCAGTCCACTAAGCAGAGCTGAGGAGCCATGGCCTACACTGACATTTTGGATAGCTGGCATGCATTGTTAATGCACTTATAAGTCATCACTTCCTTGTCCCCTTCAGATTTTTTTTTCCCTTGAAATAAACCACAAAGCTCATAGAAGGAGGGATGGGTGGATGTGAGAGATCAGGACCTAGACCAGTGGAGGGCAATTCATCCTTCAATAGGTGGTTCCTGTTTCTGGCTCAAAAGATTCTAAGAAGAAAGGTGGAATAAATAGCTTTCCATTGGGATCAGGGCCAGTGCAGCTGAGTGCATATGGATTCCAAATGTAAACATTAAAGTTGAGTAAAAACTCAGAGCTCAGGGCCAGCAAGATAGCCCAGTGGACTGAGCACTTGCTTAGGCAAGCACAGGGGCCAGGGTTCAATCCCTGGCATCACATGCTGCGCTGACACCCCCCCCCCCCCCCCCCCC